TTAATGACCTCTTGCTTTCTTCATGGATGATGTTATTGATGTCACCTCACAATTCCTCTGGTTTTTGGTCATTGGTGTTCAATGCATCAAATCCATTCTTTAGATGGTCTCAAATTCAGGAGGGATATAATCAAGATCATATTTTGGCTCTTGTGGACTTCTCTTAATTGTCTTCACCTTCAACTTGAACTTACATATGAGCAATTGATGGTCTGTTCCACAGTCAGCTCCTGGCCTTGTTTTGGCTGAAGATAATTGAGCTTCTCCATCACCTCTTGCCACAGATATAGTTAATCTGATTCTTGTGTATTCCATCTGGTGAAGTCCACAGGTATAGCCATTGCTCATGTTGTTGAAAAAAGGTATTTGCAATGAATAAGTCATTGGTCTTGCAAAATTCTGTCATGCGATCTCCAGCGTTATTTCTATCACCAAGGCCATATTTTCCAACTACTAGTGATTCTTCTTTGTTTCCAACTTTTGCACTCCAATCACCAGTGATAATTAACACATCTTGATCGCATGTTCTGTCAATTTCAGACTGAAGAAGTTGATAAAAATCTTCAATTTCTTCATCTTTGGCTTTGGTGGTTGGTGCATAAATTTGAGTAATAGTAGTATTAACTGGTCTTCCTCATAGGTGTATGGATGTTATCCTATCACTGACAGCACTGTACTTCAGGATAGATCTTGATACATTCTTTGTGATGATGAATGCCATGCCATTCTTCTTCAAACTGTCATTCTTGGCATAGTAGATCATATGGTCATCTGATTAAAAATGGCCAAAACCAGTCTATTTCAGCTCACTAATGTCTAGGATATTGATCTTTATGCATTCCATTTCATTTCTGACAACTTCCAATTTTCCTAAATTCATACTTTGTACATTCCATATTCCAATTATTAATGGATGTTTGCAGTTGTTTCTTTTCATCTTGAGATGTGCCACATCACAAAATGGGGGTCCTGAAAGTTTTACTCTATGCACATCATTAAGGTCAGCTCTACTCTGATGAGACAGCTCTTCTCCAGTCATACTTTGAGTGCCTTCAGACCTGAGAGGCTCACCTTCCCACACTATATCGTATAGTGTTTCACTGTTATTTATAACTGCTAGTATGGCATAAGGACATATTAGTTTGGGTGGGTTCTAAGCTGCAGTGAATGCAGGTAGGGGTGTTCAGTTTGAATCTACGTTCTGAGGGATTAAAGAGCAGAATAGACCCAGAGACACGGAGGAGTGGGAAGAGAAGAGACAGACGCCATGTAATGATCCAACTACAAGCAAAGGAATGCCATGGATCACCAGCAGACACCAGGAGCTAAGAAAGAGGCCCAAAAGGAGTCGGCACAGTCAGGACCCTGATTTGGGCTTTTAGCCTCCAGAACTGTGAGAAAATAAATCTCTGTCCTTTACTAGCCCCTCTTGTGGTATTTCTATGACAACAGCACTAGGAAACTAAGATCATAACCAAGACAGAAGTTTGGATACTATGTTTAATCTCTTTGTGAATTTTATCTTCCTATTATATCTCATAGGAGCTCTGGTGGTGTAGTGCCTAAGGTATTGGACTGCTAACCAGAAGATGGGCTGTTCAAACCCACCAGCCACTCCTAAGGAAGGTTGGGCAATCTACTTCGTAGTGATACCACCTCAGAAACCCAAAGAGGGGTCGCTATGAGTCGGGACCAACTCAGTGGCAGTGAGATTATATCTCATAGGAGCCTGGGTGGCGTTGATGGTTATGTTTGTATGTCAACTTGGCTAGGTCTGGTTGAGTGGCTGGGCAGCTGAATGTAGTATTCCCCATGATGAGACTGGTAATCAACTCCATGGTGAAATCTACTGGGAGCAGCTGAGTAGCTGCCTTCGGGTATGTGGTCTGCTTCCTGTATGTAAGGAAAAACTTTGAGAATGTGGTCTGCTTCCTGTATGTAAGGAGAAACTTTGAGAATGATCTCTAGTCTTTGGCACACTTGGACCCTGCATGTAGCCATGTTGTTGCTCAGAAGCCTGCTATGCACTGCCGACCTTGGGACTTAAAATAGACTTAAGTTAATGGCCTGCCGTGTGGTTTGGTAACATCAGGACT